GTTGGATCTGTCAGCTACGTGGGGCCGTACACCCTACCATTACCTTCGGTTAGCCCTAATGGGTGGCAAGTGCTGAAGGAATCCGACAATTTTGTGCTGCACACGTTGACTCGGAGCAGGGGTAGCTTGCATTAACGGGACTGGCATACTTCTCGATATTCGGTCAGGGTTAAAGTGCTCATCCAAGGCTTACTTGTGCCTTATAAATTCTGGTCAGTGCATATCGTGGACCGGGGTTGCCGCTACAGACCCAGTTGTAGGCTCTCGCCAGGCCAATTTGGGTTCGGAGCAGTTCCTCCTTTTCTTTTCTTGGTGTATGAAATCCTGGCCAAGTGTTTGTTGTGGGCCAGGGGACGGTGGTGCGCTTAAATGCGGGTCTGGCCGTGCCAGCCACCTGCGCCCTCTTCCGTTTTCGGTCTTCGTTACTGGACTCAGGCGGGGGAGGAGGAGAGTATGGTAGATGCTGCGCAAGTCTACTACCACTGTAAACAAATTCACTCGCAAGTCACTACCTGCTCTCACCACGTTGTGCACCACGTGGTGGACATCGTCGCCAACTACGGTCGACCTGCCACTTATGCCTTAGGTTCGCGTGTTCAGCCCAGTTCTTCCTAAATTCTTTGAACGATACCTCTTATGTGTCTCTTTGGGCCATGAGCTCCCGAGCAGAACGAGTCATTGTCGAGGTGACCAATTCTACCTTAGACAGGCCGGTTGAATTTCTCCCGGATACGAACGTTTTGATCATAGTGGAAAACCGACCCAGCATTTCAGAAACCCTGACTCCAGTCCTGACAGACAAACTCGCTATAAATACTCAATCTTTCACCTGGTCCTTGGATGCCTTTGTGGGATACTCTAAGACCCATGAATACTGCACGAAACGGTCCTGTTTAGCCTGTCAATTACATTACGTCTTGGAAAGGTCCTCAGGGTGAGACACAGGTATACGAACACTCCTCTCTCGGTAATACAGGTGACCTTACGCAATACTCCAGAAATGGTGTATGCTCCAATTGAGCTAGCCTGTAAAACTGTTGCCACGTGGACGAGGGTGGTTTGTAGACTACCCCTTACCCCACTCGTCCTTATAGAAACCTCAAAAGTACAAGATCACCTAGACGGGTCGTGTAACTACTTTTGTTGATGTTTATTCCTTTTCCCCTGCTGCCTCTTCTTCCCTGCACAGTTGGACCCTAAACTGGAGGGTCACCTAGTCAGTTCATTTGTCGCCTAATGCTTATTTGCCAATTTGCCAGGTTGTCACCACCTGCTTTCTGCTTGCGCCTATCACTAGCTGGTCAAGTGCTGGGAGATTTTGGTTCAACCAAAATAGCCTTTTACCACTCTGAAAAGATTGGTATGCATGTCAGGAAGAGTTCGAATTGTATTCAGCTGGCCGATGTTTATGAGTGGAATCGTCAGGTAACAGAGAACGCCGATCTTGTCTGTGACTGAATCTTCTTTGAAACAGACTCCCCGTACAGTTACAGATACGCCTACAATAGGTCCGAAAGTGGTGACTTAAGAGCTAGATGGACAACAACAGGAAATTAAAGTGGCAGTTCTTTCCAGCTTATTCAATGCCCTCTCTTCCACCAACACCTATGATTGGGTGGGAAAGTGACGCGCTACACGACCCACATCGCGATATTTTAAGTTGACTTATGGGCATGCTTTAGGAAAAAAGGCACAGTCAGAAAATCCATGTTAGTGCCAGAAGGGAGATTCGCTGGTATTTGTTTTGTAGCGAATCAATACCACTAAAACGTTTAGGTATGGCAGATGTTTAGGCTGGAAATTCAACTTTATCCTGGCAACAGAAATTTCAGACGACGCATTTTTGGGAACTGTGCTCTCGAAACCAGTGTTTATACGACAGTCTGACAACAGGAGATCCCTAATTAACCTCTACAACCTACTGATAGGTAGCATGTGATGTAGAATAATGGTGGGCAATTCACTTAGACCACCGAAGTCTCATTAGTGGACAAGAAAATGTCAAACAAGAGTTTTCTTCAATTCCGCGCATCTGGCAAGAGTTGAAGCGAGTTCTCGAGAAATTCTCGCATATCCATATTTTCACTGTCATCCAATGAACATTCGCTCAAACCTTACGACTAGATTATCGAATTTTGCAGTTAAAATTTTGAGGATTGTCCTTACATAAATTAAGCATCTTACGTAATTGCCGGACTTAGGGATAGACATGTACTGGCAGCTTAACAACTGACAACTAACGTTTCAATTGGGGCTGTAGGGGTGTCCAGTTGTAGGTCCACGTAATGGTCGTAGTAGGTCGCTTACTTGCTTGCAGGTGTAGACTAGGCCTAGCGTCCATTAACTGCCACCCGACTCTCACCTGTGGTTCCCGAAGTCAGGCTCTACCTAGCGGCCACACGCCGGTAAACGCCTCCACTGGCGGGGTAAACCAGATTAGGGTATGCGCGTGTGCATCTCCGCAGACTGTAACACGGCTCCACTCCCACCATCGATGGCCGGATCGATCACTGACTCGGCATCCCCAAATGAGGTTTCGTCTGCAACCCTAGAGAAGGCCATAAGGTAAGTGATCCCCAGGTAAGCCGATTTTCACCTTGTTGACTATACTTTAGGCTTGTTCATGCATGTTTGCATCTGTCTACTTGTTTGTGTTTGTACTTGCTGTAAACAAAAGGACGTTCTGTTGAATTTATCTGCTCACCGTCTATATTTCGGAAAAAAGTCAGCTTAGAGGAAGATGGGAAACTCATCTTCCCGTCTTTCTACCTATCTCACATCCCAGGGCCTCCCCCCAATTCCAAAAGACCTACAGTGAGAGCGACAGCAATCACAAAGATGGTGCAAGCCAACTCGGGTCGTTGATTATAGTGAAGTCAGCCAGCCGTCTGAGATGAGTCAGTAGCCCTACTTAGGGGCAGCACTGCTCACCCCGCGAGGGGGGCGGGGCTAGAAAAGGTGCCCTAAATAAATACTGGGATCACGTCCTCTGCTCGCAGATCGTGGTTCGCAGACGCAAAACACACGGTTGAAACAATCAAACAAGAAACTATACCCTCACTCTTCCCCCTCCTCCTCCCCATCGCCCCATCCCACAGGCTGGTAGGGTGAGTCCGTTCACTATGGTAGCCTGTAATATTCATTCCCTTTTAGACAATCCGAGGAGCAGCCGACCGGAACGGAGAACGGCGCTAATGGCCCATTCACCCACCACATGGGCCTTTTCGACCACATGCATATCTAAGAGAGCGGAATTCACCGCAGCACCCACAGGCCTAGTACATCCAGCACACCCATAATGCCTACCCCCGTCCACACTCCGCCGCCCAGCCCGTTCACCTCCGCTGGCAGATGCGATGTAGCCGGTCGTTGTCTATCGCAGGTTTTCGTGAATCCGCATGTGCGGCTGCAGTAAGGGAAGTTGAGGCGGATGCGTCGAGTGTATGTTGGTGCTGCAGGCACTGGTTCGCCATTCTCTGTGCGATGGATTCGCAAGTGACCGACCAGACCGACGTATGAGGTGAATATGCGATCGTATTGAGGACAGGTATGGATCGAGTCCACGTCGCTGGAAGGGGGGGAGGAGGGGAGCGCGTAGAGACGTGGGGGTGGTGGTGATGCTGGGCGCTACGATCGATGCCTTGTTTGGGGCAGGGCGGATGGTGTCAGCGGTTAGTGGCAGTAGGGCGGTGATCGACGGTGACAAGTGTGGAGGTCGGCGCGCGGTTTGCTACAGGGGAGAGGGTGGGAAAAGAGGTAGACGTTGTCGGGTTGATGGCGCGCTGGGTCAGAAGGTGTCCAACGAGATCGATTCGTGCGCGGAGTGCGTGTTGGCAGCGCAGGCATGTTGGAAATGGCCGACTGTTGGCATCGAGGCGAGGCGCTTGTGATTTGACAGCCTCCCGTTTAGCTCTGGCGGCAACGACCCGATTTGTTTCGCAGATGGCAGCACCAGTCCTCACTTCCATCCCCCAGCTGGGTCTGTCCTACGTTAGTTTTCTGGATTGATATGCAATCCCTTAAGTGAATTCTTAAATATGTCCTGTAGCGTAGATTTGGTCCTTCCGGTCGGCGAGCAACGGTGGCGTCATCGCCATGAAATAATTGTTTCGGTAGTGGTGTTTCTTCCACCATCACGAGGTGGACGTTTCTGCGTAGCTGCAGTGGCCTCAACATGACGCGAATGCTAACGATGCCGATCCGTTCTAGGACTTCTGTGTCGGGGGTCCTGTCTTGGCTTGCTTTGGATATCCAGTGGGCAGTCTCATTGTCGATTCTGGTGCTGTTGGAAAGTGCGCTTCCGAGATAAGCAAAATTGTCTACAGTTTTCAGTTGGTGGCCATCGACAATGATTCGAGGAAGAGTGCAGTGTTGCGTGTTGTGTGACGGCTGTCTCATGACCACCGTTTTGTCCGCGTTGGTAGTCAGGCCGAAGTTGGCGCAGCCACTGGCGACGAGGCCCATGCTCAGTCACATGTCCACTTCGGTCGTGGCGTTGAGCGCGCAGTCGTCGGTGAAGAGCAGATCTTGGAGCGCGATCGTAGATAGCGGCGTTCGGGTCTAAATGCGCCTGCTGTTGAGAAGATGCCCGTCAATTCCGTAGGTGATGCGTATCCCCGGGCACTCATCACGGTAGGCTTCCATCAGCATGTCAGATAACATTACACTGAATAGGGTAGGTGCAAGGACGCAGCTCTGCCTCACTCCACAGCGCGAATGGTTTCTGGAAGGTAGGGTGGGAGGTCCAGGTCGACGTTGATTCCCACATGGAGGAGGCGATCGATGACGACGTTGGCGATTGTGGAGGGGAGGTTGAGGACCTTTATGAGGTGATCGGTCTGCCACTTCAGAATACATGACTTGTCCGTCAAAAGCGCTGACCCATTGGAGCTGAGAAGCGGTGCAGTTCTTTTGGTCGGGGGCTCGTAGATCGCAGCGAAGAAATTCTTCGAGTCGTTGCGGTCGGCGTATGCTTGGATCTCCTCGGCCTTGCGAGCCGTTCAGGAGTCCTGCATCCCTCGCAACCCTTGGTGCGCTGCGCGGCGACATTGGTAGAAGGCCGCTTCGTTCGCACTTGTTTGGCGGTCGAGGTAGACTCTTGGCTGTCTGTTCTTCTCGGCCAGCAGGTGACTGATGACGGCGTCATTTTCGTCTAACCAGCCCTGGTGTTGGTTACGTGCGCGGCCGAGGATACCCAAGGCGGTCGATTGAACGGCGTCCCGTAGTCGGCACCACCGGATCTCCACGGAGGCGTTTCCATCTGCTGCCGGCAGGTCTTCAAGCCGCTGAGTCAGTTGATTGCTGAAATGCAAACGGCGAGCAGGCTAGGACAACCAAGCAATATTCAGCTTACCTGGGAGTCGCTTACCTTGAGATCTCCTGAGGGCTTGCAGATGGCGCTTCATTTTGAAGAGGACGAGACGGTGGTCCGTCCAGCCATCGGTGTCGTAGATCGCCATGATCACCATCACGTCCCGTCGATCACGCCGCCGAACGAGAACATAGTTCATAGCTGACAGCGTCGCAACCGAGGGTGCATCTAGGTCGCCTTCTCTCGCGTCAGTAGGCAGAAGATGTTTGCCAGGATGAGGCGATGTTCAGCACAGGCTCACAAGAGAAACAAGCCATTGTCATTGAGGCTGCTGAGACCATGGGGACCCAGCACTTCTATCCAGGGAGCACAGTATACCCCGACGAGGTCATTGAAGTCACCAAGGACAATCAACTTATCCACCTTGGACGCAGACGCCAGGAGAGCGTACAGGTCCTCCTAGAATTTGCTCCTTGCCACGTCACGGCTGGTCATCTGGAGAGCGTAAACGCTGATGATGTTGGCGAATTTGCCTCCCCAGAGAGGCAGGCGGGGGCTCATCAGACGATCATTAATGCCCTGTGACAGACAGGATATTCGTCCCACAGTGTCGTTCCGGAGATCAAAGGTGGCGCCCACGTCATGTCGCTCTGCATTGGTGTGACCGCTTCAGAAGAAGGTGTAGCCGGCACTCACCTCCACCAGTTGGCCTTGTTCGGGGAACCGGGTCTCGCTGAGTGCAGCGATGTCCACCTTGTAGTGCGCCAGTTCTGAGCCACTAGCGCCGTTCTCTGTTCCGGTCGGCTGCTCGTCGGATCGTCCAAAAACGAATGAACATTCCAGGCTGCCATAGTGAGCGGACTCACCGTACCAGCCTGTGGCCTCTATTTCTCAATGCGTAGCCGAAATTCGTTTTCAGAAGGGCACATCCTATCAGACTGCTCATTATTATCCCCGTCCCTGAATTAATGTCATTACTGACATCCCATCGACTTTCAGCGCATGTCTGACCTATAACACCGGCATTAGTATTCTTGAACAATTTCCGCATACTGCCCTTGAAATCAGGGCTATTTTTCTGTTAGTCGGCCCTGCAACAATCCTGTGTGACTTGTCGTGCGGCTTCTCCCCACCTATGAATGTATGCATATTGTCACAAATTTTCTTACATCTTGTTATCCGGGCTACCCAGTGCCTCGCCACCGACCGTCTCGTCTGTCCCAGCCTGCACACCGATAGTCGTTACTGGATTTGCTCATGCTCGACTGGCCAGGAAGCTGAGATCGGAGGTCACAGCAGACCTCCCATTGACACCTTTCTGGTCTCTGGCGCATATTTTACGCACGTCAGCATGGAATTTATGGGCCCTCTGCCAACGTTCCTTGCTAACAACAATTTGCTAACTGCATTTGGCGGTGATCAATCGTAACTCCCGTTCCAAGTATAACTACGTATATTGTTTCTTAGCTTTTGGGGCAAATGGATATCTCGTTGCAGTGTCTCATCAACCAGACCGACAGTTCGAACGCCGTTACCGACGATGTCTAGCCTGTGCTCCACAGCAGACGGACACGTGGACGGTGACTCTCGAGTGAATTAGTTTATCATGGTTGCAGACTTAAACTGCGTCTACCTCACCCTCTCCTTCCCCGACTTCCTGGGCTTGGCATCGGACAGATCCAAGAAGATCTCAGACGGAATGGAGTGAAGGTGACAGGTGGGGCATGAGTCTGCGCCTAGGCGTGCCACAACCTCGCCATGTGCGACATTTGTTATGGGTGTGCAACCCAAGCAACGCGTGCTGTACCTGATCTGGCCCCGCGTAGTCTGTTGCAGGGGACACTCATTCATCATACCACCGACGAAGATGCAGCATGAATCTAAAATTTTCCATAGGCTTACTGACCTTCTCGGATGCTTCAACATGCGCTGGATAGCACACCATTCTCCATCCAAGGTTCTTGCTACATATCGCAATCGCCAACTCAAATCTTAACTCTGGACCTAGGAAGAAGTCACTCAACTGGACGGGTATCGGCCCCTTAATTACGTTCCGTATCTGTACAGAGCTCAAACTAGACTAAGAGTGTCTCCCCAAACTCCCACACTAAACTACTTTATAGCTCTCCGGATATTTTTGGTTCGTTTTAAAAAATTAGCTGACCCCCATGCCACTCATTCTTATGTCCAAAGTTAACGCCAAACAGTGGCTTACCGCAGAGCCGCCCCTCTACGCGCTCCAGTAAGTAAGTCATATGTTGACCCTAACTTGCTAACCTGTTCCTCTATATTTATCCCCCACACTGTAGGTGTCTTTGCGCTAAGTTCGAGGTGCCAGCTATTCCCGCATTCTAACTTCGACCCTAACGCCAATCCTCATGACCCTAACCCTTCTAATTCTTATCCCCCGGAATTTGGATCAAGGCTACCTGCAGTGCGGTGGGGGGTTCTTACACCCATGCCCTCTTCCATCGCTCTACAACGGCCCATCCGCATCGCTTCAGATGTCGCCAGGTGCCTCAAAATCTCTCGTGGAGAGCGTACTTGGGTTGTTTCAGTTGATCGCAGTTCATACCAATTCTGCTTCGCAGCTCTCAACAGGCCAGCCTTTAGATCCGCCGCTGTACCCCTGAAATTTCCCCGCCACCGTTTAGCCTTGACGACCCTGAGCACCCTCCCTACACGCAGTGGTCGCCACGTCCGCCTCTATGGCCACTACCGACACGTAACTTACGCCTAAAAGTTTTTGTAACTTCCGTTTTGTACTTGTTAACTCTGTCCACCTAGGAGGGAGAGAGTAGTGTAATGCCAAAAGACGTTTTGTTTTAGTGTGCTAAAAACACCTCTGAAGAATGACACAACTATGATCAATAAAACCCTTCCCAAGCCGCCACGTCGTAGTTCATTTTTTCTTTCTCACATAGCAGGCTTCAAGAACCTGGGGATATTTGTGTGGAGGCGAGGTAATTTGGCACGCTTGCAGTAGGTGTAATGGCTCATGGCATGTGCGTAGGTTTGTCAAAAAATCGAACGACTCGACAACCGTCCCAAATGCATGCACCGAAACTCCCGGTGAATAATGAATGACCGTACATAAAATAAATAACACAAAAGAAACACTTGAAGTAATATTACGTTGGTTAGAAATAGCAAATTCGTTGGAAAAAGTGAGAATGATAACGGTGTGAATAATCGTGTCAGATGAGTAGACCCAGGTTTTAGAAATACATAAAGCCCATCAGTGTAAATAGCTGAGTGAGCGAAGTAGATTAAGCAGAACAACGTTTAATGATAATCCATTCGTACTGCTTGCGCTAAAATACCTTCCGAGAACTAGTGTAAACTGAAGTGCGGCGGTTGGACACGATCACCTGTAGTTCGAACAGAGATTCCAAAGCAGTTCCATGACAATTTACTGTAATTTTTACGTTTTTGCGTTGTCTGAGGCGCGGTCGAACTGGGCAAAGATTTCATTCGACTTAGCTGCTACTTGTAGAATATCCGAAAGATTAAGGAAATAAGACGTTACATGTGCCAACGAGCGGTAGTGCTGCACCAACTAGATGAAGACGAGAGGCAGGAATTCGAAAACTATGCTCAGTTCACTGCGGAAAGACGTGGGGGAAATAAAGATGGCTTCCCTCCTTCGGAGTGTACACGAAGGTAAACCACAATCGAAGCTCTCCGATGACTCAAGTCGGTACGTACACAATTATTCGTCTATATCTCTTGATAAAACGTTGATCGAAGCCTTATCGCTTGGTCCTATGTTCTGCCGTCCTCGCCAGAAACTCAACCATCTGGAGCTAGAGACACAGTTTATGGTGTTTTTTAGATATCAGCAGTTCCTTCGGCATCGCTACGCTCCGCCTTCGGTCTAGCCGGGGGGTACTGTGGCGGTTCGCGTCTCCTCACCCTCCGCCTCAAGGCTGCCGTCCCTGACACTCCTCCGGATGAGCCCTGTGGTCCTCAACCTTCTGCTTCCCCCCACGGAGCCTCTATTCCACCGTCCCGTATTTTCCCTCTGCCCTCCTGTCCGCCATCTCCGACTGCCACCACCAACTCCAACACATCCGCCACCAGATTTATTCACTCTTCTACGGACCCTGTATATATCACTCGTAGTGGTCGTCATGTACACTTTCCTGATCGATTGGTCACGCATTTCTTTTAGACCTGTACACATCCTTCGGCGTCGTTTTCGCCGGCCTCCGGTCTCGGAGGGGGGTACTGTGCCGAGGCGCCAGACTATCTTGCCTTTCCCTACCTGTTCCTCATTCTTGAACTTACTGGTTGTTTAACTGAATTGAATGAACACAACTCGACGCGACGCGCTTGGCATGAGTGGGATTGTCAGGTCGTTTGACTTTTGATCATTAATTCTTCCACAACTCTGGTCTTATCCTGATTTTTATAGTCTGGGATTGACGGTTCTGTCTTTAACGCTCGCTACAAGTTCACGATTTCATAAATCAAACACATGACCTTCAGCCGGTTTCGGCAGAGAGCGTGCAACACCTTAAGTCCAGGTTTGTCAACTGTTCTTATCAGTGTCTGAACAATAGCCAGGAATGTCGAGGCTTACTGATGAAGTCGCATATTGAGAAATTAAAGCAACTCCAACAGAACAAGGATATTCTAATAACGAGACCAAATAAGGGAAATGGTGTTGTTTTGATGGACAGGACAAGCTACATTACAAAAATAAGTTAATCCCGTCGGACTAGGAAAAGTTCCGCAAGGCAGGAAGGGAGAAGGATCGGATAGATCGGGTTGAAGCTCAGCTGACTGACTGCTTGAAAAGACTTCAAGCGAATGGTTTCATAAGCGAACACAACTCAGAGCGTCTCCGGCCCGTCGGCACGCATATACGTGGGTTATATGGCTTGTCAGGGGTCCACAAAGATGGTACACCTGTTCGTCCAATCTTAGGCATGGGAAATTCGCCGTACCATGCGGTAGCAAAATGGCTTGCGGAGAAACTTAAGCCCAAACAGTACCAGCTAGCACCACATAGCTATCGGGGTACTTTCGAATTCGTGATGACTGATGTGACCGAAATATATGAGGACAATGCTATAGAATAATTAATATTGCAGTGGTATTTGAGTAATCATTTCGAATCGAAAGCACATTCCAGAATTTCGGCCAACATTTTACGAGATAGCCCATCTACTGTATATGCTCGTGCTTCCTTTGTGGAAAACTACACCTCTCTAAGTCATATTTGCAAGTACTCAATCCTTGACGTATATTCGAAATAGATCAGTGGTCTTGCATGTGCTTCGGAATAAAAAACAGGATTAAAACAACACTTCGGTAAGTTAGAGATATGTTCTTTTTCCCGCGAAACGGAGACAAAGAGTAGTAAAAAGTGGAGGGAGAGGAAGAAAAGGAAGAAGAAAGGAAGAAGGAGAGAATAAGGACGTTGATTTCTGAGGCCATTGATTTATTGTTCCGACGATTTAAAATCCCAGACCGGACCATCATCAACAAATGAAGGAAGGTACAATTCACAGTACATTTAACCTACGTCCGCCGGGAATAACCCTTAGTCGTGCCACTGATTCCTTAACGGAGCGCCC